CTAACAGCAGGAGCGCCAGGTGGGTGATTCTAACTGGATGCCATCTTGAGCTCCATGATCTTTTTGAAGCACCTTTGTAGACAGGTGGTGTATAGATAGATCTAAAAACCAAACTCACAGCCAACAAGTCCATTCTGACTCATGGTGGCTTTATAGGACAGGGCAGAACTGTCCCTGTGGGTTTCCAAGATTGTAATTCTTTTTTTTTTTTGAGCTTTTAAAACAGTTTTATTGGCATATAATGCAATACAATAGTTCGATCATATTAAAAAGAGTTGCACAATCACCACCACAGTCAGCCAATTTTAGAACATTTTCTTCTTTCTTGACTTTACTATCCTCAACGTCACATTTCCTCTCAACATCCCTCCAGAAACCCTGAATGGTGACTTATTTGTAGATTGATGTCCCCTGAATTTCCTACACAGAACAACTTACTAACAAAAACTAACAACAATAACAAAGTACAACAGAGAAGAGCCCCAATCAAGAAGAAAGCAAACATATTAAAGCATTAAAAACTAGGAAAATTTAATCTGGGTCAAATGAGAAGCTGTTAAGTTTTACCTATGTGAATCATAACAGAACTTTTCAATGACAAAATTTTGGAAGCAAGAGGGTCCATATCAAGCTGTTGACAAGACCAGGCTCCCTCAGAAGGGGCCAGCAGACTTGTCCTTTGTCCCCTTTACCTTCTGGTGACCCTGGACTCCCTTGATTGGTGGCAGCACCACTCCCATCTCTGCCTCTGTCCTCCCACGGCCATCTTTTCTCTCTCTCTCTTCTTAGGGCCACTAACTTCATTGGACAAGGACCCACCCTACATCAGTGCGACTTCACATTACCAACTACAAATACAAAGACTCTCTTTCCCTGTAAGGTCATGTTCACAAGTACTGGGGGAGGGGATGCTTAGGACTGGAACTCATCCATTTTGGGGGAGCGGAGGTGTGCAACTCAACTCCTAATAGAAGGGTGAGTTACAGTATGAAAACTACCTTATCTAGTAATTATCTCTGTCATGGACTAAAGGGATTGAGATCCTCAAATGTGTTTATAATATTCACAAATTGAAATGCAGTACTTCTGTCGAATGAAAAATGGTAGAAAAGGGAAGAAAATGTCAAAAACACATTCACTACTAAAACTTTCACAAATGGGTAAGGTCATAGCTCCTGTCATGGTCACCCCTATGTGCCTTTGCTCAGTTATCCACCTGCGACCAGTGTCATTTAGATTGTGATTCTTTATGGGACTAGGAAACCTGAACGTTTCAAACTGCTGACCTTGTGTTTAAAGCCTAACATTACTCCACCAGGGTTCCTCCAGAAGTAGATAGATAGATAGATAGATAGATAGATAGATAGATAGATAGATAGATAGATAGATAATCAAACTGAACCAGACAACTGTTATCTAGGCAAATCTGGGCCCTAGTGCCCCATAGGTTCTCCAAATCTTTATAGAGGCAGACTGCCACATCTTTCTCCTACAGAGTTAACCTTCTGGTCAACAGTTAAGTGTTTTAACCAGGACACCACCAAGGTTCTTGATAGATAGATATAGTTTAAAGGAATTGACTCCAGCAATTTTAAGGGTCTGGGTAGTCCAGAATCTGCAGTTGAAGTCAGGGGGATGAGATCCTGGTTGGCTTGTGCACCCGAATCTGCAGATAAAATAAGACAAGAAGAGTGAGGAGGGAGGTCTGGCAGGATGTCGAGTTAGAGTCTGGAGGCAGAAGGCCACTAGAGGAATTCCCCTTTTGCTCTCCAGGCGTTGACCTGTTTGGACAAGGCACACTCACTGTAGGGAAGGGAAGGGAATCTCTACCATCCTCGCAGTCAACTGATGGGGTCCCTTGTCAGCACGTCACACCCCAGGTGGTACAACGGTTCCCCCACTGGCTGTTGCAGGAAGGATGGGGGCTGAGCTCACCCACAGGCTCCATGGTCAGCCCGCCCTGCTAAAGACCACAGACTCAGAAACGCTTTGGGGACAGGTCTTCTCTGTCCCCGCAGATGGCCAGCAGTGAGAGCACATTTACTATCCACCTGCCTCTGGGTCCTCACTGGACTCAAGTGAAGCCATCAGCAGGGCCCGACGAGGTCTTCCTGGAGACCGTGGGAGAATTCATTTCACATCTTTTCTAGAGGTTGCCCTCGTTCCTTGGCTCGCCCCCCTCTCCTCCTACCACCTCACTCTGGAAGCGGTCTCGAGGGAATTATGGGCTCTGATAGTACTGGTGCTGCGGAGCACAGGTGTGAAATGAGACATGCAAGGGCAGACACTGGCAGGCCCCAGGCCCCATCTTTTGCCGCCCCATGGTGGCATGCTCAGATGAGTTCTGCTTGGGGGACAGGAGAATTGGTAGTTTGGGGCTAGCCGCCGCCCCCCTCTTGGTTTTTCTGCTGTGGGAAGAGGGACGTGCGGCTGGGTGGGGAAGGGCTCATTGTGAAAGGCATGGCACAAAGGCGACTCAGAACAGACGTTAATCTTGCCGAGACATTGATTTTGGAGGTCTCCTTTGAACCTTCCGTCCCTCACACGTGCCGCTGGGATGAACTTGAGGGTCAGAGGGATAGAGTCGCTTGTACAGGGAGCACATTCTTCTGCCCTGCTTGTAACTTTCGACCTGGAAGTTAAAGAATCCGGCCCACGGCCCACAATCACAACAGCAGGGACCACTGCTTCACAACAGCAACTAGTGTGCGACCCAACATTTGGGCCCCAGAGCGTAGTTGGAAGTTGAACCAGAAGTGACCCATCACGAGGATAAGCCGAGCGACCCACACCTCTGTTTCCATAGCTGCTGCAGAAGTGCTGACACCAACGGGCGCTTCTCACAAGACGTGTCCCTCGTCCAAGACACAGACTGCTGGAGGCCATCCTCCGCCTTCCCCCAAAGTAAACACGCTGGCAGGCATTGCACAACCGAGCGGGCCCTAGATTCCAGAACCCCGCCTGGCCCGCCCGCCCGCCTCCACTGCACTGGATAAAGCAGCCATGCAGGGAATGAGAATGCTTGGCCTCCCTGACACCCTCTACTTGATAAACTCAGAGTGGACCTTCTGATAGAGAACACTGGGCTTTTCTAGATAGAAACCCAACGCTGTGGAATGATGAGCAACTAGTCTCCCCAAGAAACCTCCAGCTGGACAAAAGGAGTCGAGGCCCCTGCTTGCTCTGGGATGAGAGACAAGGGGACGCCAGCCCTCCAGGCTCGCCTGGGCCTCGTGTCCTCCTCCAAAGCCCTTTACTTTACCAGCTTTAGGAGTGTCAGAACTGCCCAACATGCCACTTTAAGTCGAGCAGGGTTTTCAAGACCCCAGCGCTCCATGAAGCAGCTTCCATGAGCCAGTGGTTAACGCTTGGCTGCTTTCTCAAAGGGTGGTGGTTTCCATCCATCTGGGTTCCCAGAAAGAAAGAGTCGGACATCCGTTCTTGTGAAGAGTTCAGCCTGGGCAACCCTCCGGGGCAGTTCGTTCTACCCTGTCCAGTGAGGCCTGTGAGTTGGCATCAGTACGACGGCTTACACACCTGGCATGCGCAGGCCTCCAGCTGGGAACTGGTCTCAGGCCTCGGGGAGGCCCTTCGTGGCTCCTCCCACTCTGTACCTGCTGCGCCCTCTCTCATCGCCCCCTGTACTTCAAAACTGCTGGAAGCCATGGAAGACTGCCCTGCCCCCTGGATTCTCTGAGGGGAAACTGGGGGGCCGAGCTCATCGGAATGGTAAGGTGCATCAACAGTTTGAAGCACTAGACGGGGTACCTGTTCAATTATTGAATTCCTTGCAACTTTAGTAATAGGGAGACCTGGTGGCATCATGGTTACACATTCGTCCACCTGAAAGGCTAGCAGTTCAAAACCACCAGCTGCTCTCTGGGAGAAAGATGGGGCTTTCTACTCCCGTAATCAGTTAGACTTGGAACTCATAGGAGCAGTTCCGGGCTGTTTAGAGGGTCACCGTGACGCGCCATCGGCTCGATGGCAGTGCGTGTGGAGTTTGGTTTTCGTCTCCGGACCTGGAAGGTCCTTGATGTGTGGAAACAATTGGATCCTTAGCTTCTGTAAGGCATTTGATCCTGAAAACAAGACATGCCGTTAGCTGCCATCACGCCACGTGTAGTGACCACAGCGGAATGACTTCCTGCCCTGTCCAGAGCCAGCCCCAGGGTCCCTTGCGAATCTTCAGGGCTGTCGTTGGCTGGTTTGGAAAAGATGTGTGCTAATCAGGTCTGGTCAATCTGAGGCTGGACCCCCGTCAGCATCAGAGAAACACCCCAGCCTCCTGACAGACGGTGGGAGGGCGCTGGGTCAGAGGCAGTGCCCTGGCTGGGACTTGAACTGGCTCTCTTAAAAGGCCAGAATGCTGCCTTTGCACCACCGGTCCCCAAAGCGGGGCAGATACCTATCTGATCAACAGCTTATACATCCGTTATGATTTTTTTTAATTCTATGCATTGTTACAGCTGAAAATGCATGCGGAAGAAAGCATCTGGAACTAGGGATTATTAGGGCAAAATCAACCCAACGTCAACATCTAAGATGACAGTCCAAGCCCCCTCCCTCCTCTGAAAGGCCTTGGGAAGAGCCTGGGTTTCGCAGCAGAGTCCTGGGATGCGTTATGACAAGGCAGCGGAGCCTTGGGATGCAAATGCGCCTGAAACCCGTGCCTTGTGTCTTTCAGTTGTCTCTCTGCTTCCTGAATAGATCTGTCACCGCGTGTAGGCGACTTCTGGACTGCATGTGGGGGCCGTGGGAGTGTCTGCCTGGCTCCGGCTCCGGAAGGGCTGCTCCTTGGGGAGGGCTCCTGAGACCTTGGGAACTGAACGGGCCCAGCTCACAAGTATGAAGAGAATGTGGGGAGAGGAAGTGGAGGCTGTGAGTCAGCATGAGTCATATAGTTCCAACGAGAATGAGCCTGAGGTGTGCGCCTTTTTTTTTTTTTGTCGTCTCAGCCGTGTGGGCATCACTGGGAAATGGAGAGAAATAAGTAACCGTTGGGGCTGCTGCTTGGGTCGTGCCAAGCTTGGCATTCCAGGCCAAGGCTGCCCGGCCCCAGCTCTCTCTCGCTGTCTTCACAGCTCTCTTCCTGGGACAGTGGACTTACCAGCTTCTCCGCGGTGAGTAGGTTTCTAGCGTTTCCTCTGAGGGTTTCTGCAGTTTGCCTCTGGGTCTGAGCTGTGCTGGAGGGGATGCGTCCAGGTGTGGGCACTGTGTTTCCTCCAGGCTTTGCAGATGCATCGTTTTGAAAGAGTGGCTTCCCCCCCACTCCCATGCGCCCAAAGCGACTGCCCTTCAGCCTGGCTGTCTGCAGGCATTTCCCGGGCATTCACTGTGCGGGAGAAGGTAGCATGCTTTCTTGGAAAAGATAGGGGTGCTTGCTGGGGCAGGACGCTGCAGCAGGGCTCCTGGGTTGGTGGTGCCTCAGTGACATTTAGAGGTAGAAGTGCTACTTGTGCTGCCCTGGGGCCCCTTCCAGCTTCTTAAGCGGAGGAGGAAGCACAGTCCCCCAGCAGTTTCTGTCCAAGAAAAAGTAGAATCAAGAGGCACAGCAGCGGCCGGTCCCTCTGACAATCTCTGAATGATGCTGGGTGCTGATCTTAATGTCCTTTCTTTTTTGTGGACATGCCAAAGGCACAGTTTGCAAAAAAATCAGCCAGAAAGTATGCTGCAGGGTGGGGTGGGGTTGGGCAGAGGATGGAGAGGGTGGAGGCCTGGCCTGGCCTTGGGGTGTGTTTCACAAGCCGTTGTGATTCTGGTGAAGTTTAGTTTGACTGTCAAGTAAAAGACAGGAAACGTGGTTTTTTTTCTTCTTCTTTTTTTTTTTTTTAATTTTCAAAATGCCACTCTAGTTACTGTAAAAGAAACAGTTAAAATCTCATGCCTTGTGATAAACTTTTTTTTTTTTTGAATTTGCTTAAAAAAATAACCCATCCGTGAGCAAGACATGACAGGGAGCTTTTTCAGTACTGTCATTTGAGTGCGTGGGCTTCCTGGGTTAATAATGAGTCAGCTCCCCATTTCTAAAATTGGAGCGGCTCAGAGGACCTTCAGTCTGCCTCAGAGTGTGTGGCTGTGCTGTCTCAGTGTCTCAGGGTAAAACCCACTCAGACACCTACCCCCATCCCCTCCTCTCAGCTTTGTCCATAGCTCCTGGGTGCTGGGACTGAGGGGGCTACTGTCATGGTTAAGGTGCTTGCCTTTCTCAGACCCTTGTTGCCTGCTGTGGACGTGCTCGGTTCTGCCTCGAGGGCATGGAACAGTCAGTGTGTTGACTGGGATAGACAGTGCCCGTTGTGGCCCCGGGGTGGCCCGGGCCCAGAAGCTGCTCTTCCTAGAGTCCTGTGACCTGCTCCCATCAGCCACAGTGGCTGAGGGCCTGGTCCAGGACGTGCCACCGAGTGAGCTTCAAAGATGACATTGCCACACGTAGCTCATAGCCTGGGCAGATGACGTCAGCTTACAAGCAGGCAGCAGGATTCCAAGGAAGAAAAGCTCGGGTGACCCTCCTTGCTCGTCCTGTCTGTGAAGTGAGAGGAATGTGGAGGGAATAAGGCGTTGCCGGTGCAACTCAGAGCCAGATGCAGCCCTCTTGGACGCTGCCCCCTCATCCAGGTTGGGTTGGCCTTCTTATGGCTGGCCTTTTGTGTTCAGGTGGGGGCCGGCAGCACGCTAACGCCCCACAGCAGCAGGGGAGGCCCTGGGCTGCCGCTGCTCGGTCTCCCAGGACGTGGCCTTCAGAGCTCGGTGGCTGGGTGAGGACTCAGTGGGTGAGTTGTAGCCAAGTGCCGGGAGGAAGGTCCTCAAGGAGATGCAACAATAGGCCCAGACATAGGAACAAGTGTGAGGCTGGCACAGGGCCCAGCAGTGCTCCATTCCATCCTGCACAGGGTGGCCATGGGTTGGAACCAACTCGAGAGCACAAGCAAGTGCCTATTCTAGGACCTGGGCACGAAGAAGCTCCCTCAGGATGAGGACACCCAGTTCCACCATCTACCTGGTTTCCTGTGCCTGCCAGGGCACAATCCTGTACACTGAGCGGCTTATCAGGGCAGAAATCTATTGTCTCACATTTCTGCAGGCCACAAGTCCAGATGAGCGGACTGGCCCGGTTGAGCCCTTCGGAAGGCTCTGGGAGGACAGATTCCATGCCTCTTCCTGGCATCTGGCAGCACCGGCCATTCCTTGGCTTATAGTGGCGGCATCACACGATAGGCTTCCTCTGTCTCCCCGTCCCCCTGTCTCTTGTCCTCTTTCTATACAAGGGCCTAAAGGCAATATCCTCAGAGACCCTACATCCAGACAAGGCCCCCTTCACAGGGTGGGCATCGAAGACTTCAGCATATCTTTTTTGGGGGACACACAATTGAATCCATAGCATTGAAGGTGTTGGGGTTTCCCAGCTCTTAGTTACCTCCAGGAGGTTTTCAAGAAAGATCCCAATAGTAGCTGTTTCCAGGCTGAGGCACAGCCGTGCAGGTGTCTGTGGCTAGCCCTCAGCAAGGCAGATAGGGACCCGGGTCTCCTAATGGCTGCACTTGGCCTCTCTTAGTGAATTATCGGTGTCAAAGCTCAAAGGGATCCCATCTTCACGGAAAGACCAAACCAAACCAAAGCTACTGTCAAGATGTAGATGCTGACTCATACTGACTCCCTATAGGGTTTAAAAGGTAAATCTTTATGGAAGCCATCTCATCTTTCTCCTGAGAGGTTGCTGATGGGTGTGAACCACCAACGTTGGGCTTTCGCAGTCCAAAACGTGCCCCGCGGCACTGACATGGCTCTTTTTCATGGGGATGGAAGAGTTGGCGGGAGACATAGTGTCCGTCCATGACTCAGCAATTCATGCCCCTTAGCGCTTTCTGAGTCTGGTTTCAGAGACGGTGCCAGAGCTGAATGTGCATCTGTCTCTGGGTCCCAGGACTTCAAGTCCTCCGGGAGGAGCCCTGACAGGGAGTGGTTTCCATTATTGGGTGCCGCCAGTTTGTGGGTTCCAGCTCATGGCAACCGGCTGTCAAGCAGAAGGAGGCACGGCTCAGTCCTACGCAGTCCCCACTCGTGTTGTCCTGCTGAGTCTGTGTGGCAGCCACTGGGCCACTCCCTCTCATCTGTCAGTTTGTTGAGCTGAGGGGGCTTGCCTGGTGGGATGAAACTGGAAGTTTCATCACCAGGACTTCAAATGCCGGCAGGGTCACCCATGGTGAACAGGTTTCAGCAGAGCATCCAGACCAGGAAGAAGGAATAGGCTGTCTACTTCAAAGGAATTCACCACCAAAAACATGATGAATATCGGCAGAAGCAGTGTTCCGATGGGCAGTTTTTCTTCTAGACGTTGCTTGTGTTCGTTCCTGTAGACAAAGGCCTTTATAAGGGATTCTGGAGTTGACTCCCCTCTCAGCCATCTGAAGCAAGTGTGTGATTACTTTCATAATCTGGAGAAAGGGTCCACAAGCTAAAATGAAGCCCCTGGCCATGTCTGGACATGGAGCGTTTACTCCTGTGGTTTGCTGTTGGCTTCTACGGTCCAACTCCGGTCCACCACCAGTCGCTGCCACTTAGTGAAGCCATCCCCAGGCTGCAGGCGGGGGAAGACGTGAGCGCCCTCTCGCTCACAGCACTCCTGGGTCATCCCTGGGTCTGCAACGCTGCATGGTTTCTCATAGGCTCCCGGCATCCAAGCCTCAGCCCAGGCTACGCTGCATAAAGCAGATCATCTGCTTTCCTCTTTGAAGGTCCCCCAGAACTTGGTTTGCCCCTTCTCCCATGCATCCTATTTCCCCAGGAGCTTGCAGTGTCTTTGTGCCTCTCTCATTCCACTCTCTGGAGGAGAAACTGCAGAAAGGGCCAGGCAGGGCTTCCGAGGCTTCTCCCATCATAGTGCCTGTGCTACAGCATCCTCCCTGCCACTCCCTAGCAGCGAGGCCAGGGACAAGTGGCCTGACTTCTTTGTGCATCACTTCATCCTGCCATAGGGTGCTGACGTGCCTCCGGGGCTCATGTAGATCCCACAGAAGGGTGTCTGGAAGTTTTAAGGGGACTCTGGAACTGCCGAATGCCTATTCACCCATTCAGAAATGCAACCAGACCTCTTTGTGTCCTCCGGCTTGGGCTCTCTGCCCTGCTCGCCTCCTCAGGCAGCGACTCCCGTGCCCAGGAATGGGCAGTGCTTTTGCTGCCCATGGTGACGGGGTAGGTTTGGCATTTGTGGGAATAGGACTCATCCCTGAGCTGTCTACAGAGGACATGCTCCTCTGCTCTCCGCAGGACCAGCCATGGCTCTAGACATCACCTCCGTGAACTTCCTCACTGCCCTTATCACGAGAGCAGTCTCCATTCATTCAGCTTCCATCTTGGGCCCAGGTTAGAAATGTAGCCAGGTGAAGGCCAGAAACTGCAGGACCCCTGACCTCAGACCTGGCCAGAGGGTGGGAGCAGCTGTTCTTGGTGCACACTTCCTGTTTAAAGCCACGGACAGTCGTCTTCGGGTGCTCTAGGGTCTGACTAGTTGAAAACCATCCCAGTGCGTGAAGAGGACTCACCTTGAAAAAAACAGAAGTGAGGTAGGTACCCTTGAAACGACACACCGGGTGAACATAACCCGGCCATTCCTCGCCATTTCTGAAGATGATCCAAGGGCAGGCAGAGCCTCAGATGGAGGCCAAGCCCTCACAGTCTGTTCCCCGGGAAGTGCCAAGGACATACCATGGGCTTTTCTATGTCCCCTACGGGCTCTGGGGTGGCCTCGTGGCTCTGTGACCCTCCCTCCCGGGTGGTTGTCTGGGCTCTGCGCACCGTGGACTGCCTGCATGGTGTCAGCAGTGAGCTGTGAGTTCCTGGCCCAGTTTTGCTATGCCCCTTCTGTGCTCACACTGCAGGGGAAGCCGGTGGTTGAGCTTGGCCCTGGGCCTGTGGGGCTGGCCTGGACTTCCCATAGATGCCAAGAAGGTGCTGGTTAGACCACAGAACTCAGTCAAAGACAAGCCCACTGAAGATAGCTGGGCCCATGGGGAGGAGGTGTGGGCAGGATGCTGGGTTGGTCTCAGATGAGCCCTTCTAATTAGAAATATGGGCCTTGTTGCCATGCGTGTCTTTGGAAAACCTAATGGTGATGCGGAACCTC